AATTTAATTGTTCAGTTGTAGAGCTAGCAAGTGTTGACAACGGTACAAAGTCTCATGTCAATTCAATAATGGGAACTTTTTTTTTTCAGCAAATGTCATTTGTGTCATGCCCATGGACTGTTTGTGTGTGTTTTGCTCCCGGTGACCCAGTTTCTCCCTCATGTTTGATTGTGTTATTTGGTCCAGGTGTGTGTCACTAATTAGCTTCATTTGCTCAAGTATTTAAGTCCTAGTCTGTGCAGTCCGTCTCTGTCGGGTCTACTAACTTGTGTTCATGTGTCATTCTTCGGTCCTTGCGCCTGAGTTGGATTTAATAAAGACTATTTAGTGTAATCCACGGCTCCGGGTTCCTTCCGGCAGCGATCGTGACAATTTGGGGTCAAAAAGACCCCAAACTATTTAGTTACAAAATCCACATCTAAATATTATGTAACAGACTTTGTCATTTGAATCATTTTACAGTATCTGGATCGTTTCCATCAGTATAGGTAACACATTTAATGCAACCTGACTCATTTAGTGAACTGAATAAATTAAGTGACATTTACTATCATTTCGTACACATGCACAGGCGAATGCACTTTTCATTTAACAGACAAGATATTTATTTAAAGAAAATGCACCCAGCACTACAAGGGAGATAATTAATGTAAATTATATAGATTTATAACAGGTAAATAATTTTTTATCAAAATTTTTTTCAATTCGAACTTGGTAACAGCCTAATAGATTTTCCTTTTATGATTGACCTACTCTGTTTCATTTTCAACTTTCAACTTTATTCTTCGGTTATTTCAAGTTTATACTTAATGTAAGTAATAACCCTGTGAGGTACATAAAACGTAATCACAATTTGTTTTACGACATAAAGACATTTTTACCATAACTTGCTGGGTACACCCTTTATTGTTGACAGTTAGACCGTAAATCTGATGCTGTAGTACACGCTACAGAGATTCGTCACCAAATTACACCTGCTAGACTACCACACCTTACCTTACAAACGTCAACACGCCTTATATTTACTGGCCCAATTTTTGTCTTGTCAGTCTGTAAACTTTGAACGAAAACGCATCACATAGAGCATTGCAAGGATTATTGTAAGGAATTTTGTTCATTTTTCATGGTTATGACTTTGAAGAGCGGGAGAAGGTAGGTCACTGAATGAATGAAATATTAATTAAAAAAAAAGAGCCTAGCCTATAATGAATATTGTATCAAGAGTTAGATAGTAGGCATAAGCGTACACATTTATATGGTAGGCTATAGATTTTTATTTACATGCGTTACAGTAAAATATATTTTTTTCTTTTATAGAAAAATGAAAAAAAAAAATGTTTAAGCAATTATAACTGAAAAAAAATGTTTCATCCAATTTTGCGAAGGAACGTTATCCAGGGTCTCCTAAAGCGTGCGTAAAGTTACTGGACATCGCTTAGATTTGCATGCATCTATATAAATGCATTTCGTATTTAATTATAAACATTGGCTTTGCAATAATCAAAAAATCATTCATACATTTTATTTTGTCTTTGACAAATTGCGAATGTAGGCTATATAATTATATACATTGGCTTTGCAATAATCAAAAAAACATTCATACATTTTATTTTGTCCCCTCGTTTTTGACAAATTGAGCAATGATGTAATCTAAATATGTAAATTGTTCATGTAAAATGTTAATACTAATTGTGGGGTCCCATTTTCTTGTAAATGTGAAATAAAATTTATTGTAATTAATAAAAGTCTTTAAACTGATACACAACAATCTGTTCATGCCATTATTAAGATGACAGGCATAACATTTTGGAGCCTACTTTAATAGAAATAACTGTTGTAGTTAAGTACAGTATATAGTAATAATTATGTATATAGTATAAATGTGACCCCATTCGTATTAGCACATTTATTGTCGTCATTTTACATGCCCTTTCAGATGTAGGCCTGTTTAATTATAAAAACCTTTATATAATCTGAATAATATATAATTTAAATAATATAATTGAAATAATCTATAATATTAAACTTATTGCATGTGTCCTCTAAACCAGTGGTTCCCAACCCTGGTCCTGGAGGCACCCCAACACTGCACATTTTGCATGTCTCCTTTCTCTGACACACCAATTTCAGGTCTTGGAGTCTCTACTAATGAACTGATGACCTGAATCAGGTGTGTTTGATTAAGGAGACATGCAAAATGTGCAGTGTTGAGGTGCCTCCAGGACCAGGGTTGGGAACCACTGCTCTAAACCATATGTTTTGGGTATTGAGGCATTCAACAGAATATCTGATTGGAGATAATTACCTGTGCAATTCTGGCCAAATTAATGATACATTGTGTAGATATCTGCAGATGTGATAATTTAAGCATCATTAATGACCCCTTGTGTTTAAAAAAAAAAGGAGAATGAGCACTTTTGCTCTGAAAGGCACAATTTTTCACCGCTAGAGAGCGTGTATTCAAAATAAACAAATAGACAAAGGCGTAGTTTGATGATGCCGTGACTGAGTGTGGAATCATGGGAGTTGTCGTCTTCATCCACACAGCCGAAGCAATCCGATGGGACTCGCAGAAATCATGTTCATGGATGAGCTAATGATTTATTAATGTAGTAGAATGAAGCAGAGTGAGGCCGAAAGCCATCAAAGTGAAACGAGGCCGCTGAACGAGCGTGACACACGGCTCGAAAGCAGCGGAGGTTTTATTATGCCACAGTTGACCGCTTCCGCTCCTTCCGGTCCTGCGTATATGTGGGAAAAAAAGCAGCTGTTTTATTATACTAGATACATTTGAAAGTTCTGTTATAATGCTACTCTGTGCGGTCGTCACCAGTCTATTAAAACGTACAACATATTAAAGCGTCTTTGGTGTTTCCATGTTTTCTACAAAACAAAACCGGAAATCGAGGGGTTAGGACATCATTGGCAGGCGACACAATGATACTATAGACATGGTCCGTGTCACTAGTTAAAATGGCTTATTTCTCTGGATTTAAACATTCTTCGAAACATTTGGGATAATGTAAGTACACAAGTCAGCAAAATATATAACACTGTTCAAGTGGTTTTTGGATATTTTAATAAAAAAATCTTATCTCAATCTTGTATCTCATATTGTGCCTTTAACTTGAAAAAAAAAATAGGAGCAGAGTCAACAATTTAGGAGCACCTACCGATCAATGACAAAAATTTAAGTGTTACTCCTTAAAGTGATTTGCAGAGACACATTTGTAATGGCATTTTTTGCTAACCTTTTTAAATATCAAATTCATAAATTTATATTTACAAACCTTTTTTAAAAAATGTAATGAATAAAATAATAATTTAACCAGACATCAGGAAGAATAGGTTACCAACCAAAGGAAATCAGTATCATCAAAATTCATCTTTGCACTACAGAGGTGCACAGAAGCACACAAAAGTGGTATTTCAGTATATTTACACTGTTTAATGAGGCTCAGAGGTGGCATGAATGCATTTAATTAAATTTTGATTAGATCAAACAGCTGATTCATTCATGAACAAAGCGAGTGACTGTTTTTTGAATGGGTGACTGAAACATTGACTCACTAGATTCTTTCAAAAACACACATTCATTTATTTACAACGGCTTAGCTGTGACTTTGTTTGGTACTATTTTCGTTGATAAAATATAGCAAAGACAGACAACAGTGTTCCTAAAATGTAAGCCACACTTCTTGTTTATTGAACTGTTGTATAAAATCAATATCACATTTGCAAACTCTCTTATAAAAAATGGAAAGCCGTCACTCATCTCAGTTCATCTCACAAACTTTTGCTACAGCTCTCTGCTGCATAATGAATCTTTTATGTACATTGTGTCTACACTTTTTTTTTGTAATGAGAGGATCAGCACTGACTGATCCTCTCAGCAACTCAGCACTAAAAAAACCTGAGAGATTCAAATGCCTCTGAACGGACACGCATTCAAGAAATCAACAGATATGTCTGTTATTGGCTACACTGCTCAACGCTGCTAGAACACGTTGTAAATTGAAACCTTCGATGCTCTCCAGAGCACAAACACAGACTCGCATGTATGTCTGGATTACCGTGTGCGTTTCTGGATCTATTACATGCTTGTGCAAGTGTGGTAGGTTATGATATTATTTTCAATCTATATGCGTCTCATTAATGGAAATGCGAGGTAATTTTGGGCTAGACTACAATATTTTTAGACAGAGTTTACATTAAAACCTGGAATATTCAGGTACGCTAACAGATTTGTCCATATAAAATGTTCATTTAATACGCATATGTTAGAGTTAGATGTAAAAGTAAGGTGTTCAGATTTCATCCTAGATAATTCTACCTGAAGCAGTCTGGTTTTACAATCTGTTCTGTAGGGAGTAGGACGTGCACCTATAGAGAATCATTTTCATTGGCTGCAATCACAAAAGTATTATGGCCAATCACAAAAGTCAACATTGCCCAGCTATAGACACAAATACCCTGCTACGTTTTTATTATTTATTGCACTACGTTATGAGCGTAACTCAGATTGCTGTTCAGAAAGTTTACTCATTTGTAGAAATTATTTTATGAAGGGTAAAAGTATTCATCGTACAACAATTAAAATAATATCTAATGTCTTGTATCCTCTTTCAGCAGTTTATTTCTTCCTAAGCAGGATGGCACAAGGAAAATTGTATTCACCCTGTGTAAGTATTGTAAATATAGAATGTGTGTAATTTATCATATAAATGGAATATGTATATGGAATATATATGGAATATACAGTAGAATGTGTTCTACAGTTTGTTCTGGAATTGTTCTGTTTTTGGCTAAATATAAACAAAAATTATTGAAAGATTTTACAGGAATTTGATTCTTTTTACAGTGTGTTTGTGGTGTGCTATTCATTCTACAACTAGAGTTAGGTAAGTGATTCAATTATGTGTCATTACTTTTTTTATCTAATACAAACATGTTTTTGTAAAAAGTAATAATAATTTTTTAAAAGGTATAATATTTTTCTTTTAAAAATCCAGTGCTTCAACAACGGAGTCTACAACTTCAGGATATACAGCTTCAGAAACAACAACTGTACTTGCAACTTCAACATCAGCAACATCAGCTCCAACCTCATCTGATTCTTCAGGTACAACAATGGTTATAACTACGGAACCACTTGCTTCAACAACCATGCCTACATCTTCAGAAACGACAACTGCAGCTGAAACAACAAATACTGCATCCACAACCACAACTGAACCTTCCACTGCTACAGCTGTACCCACAACGTCACTTGGACTCACAACAATGGAAATTACTACAACTTCAGAGAGTACAACAGCAGAAACGTCAACTACAGCTTCATCAACCACACCTACAACAACAAACGATGCAACAACATCAACAGCTGTAACTTCAGAATCCACGACTCTTACTTCAACAGTGGTCCCTACAACTTCAGAAAGTACAACAGCAGAAACGACAACTACAGCTTCATCAACCACACCTAAAACAACAAACGATGCAACAACATCAACAGCTGTAACTTCAGAATCCACGACTCTTACTTCAACAGTGGTCCCTACAACTTCAGAAAGTACAACAGCAGAAACCACGACTACAGCTTCATCAACCACACCTACAACAACAAACGATGCAACAACATCAACAGCTGTAACTTCAGAATCCACAACTCTTACTTCAACAACAATGCCTACATCTTCAGAAACAACTGCACCCGTAACAACATCAATAACTACAGCATCCTCGACTACTGAAATTCCCACCACCACGGTTGTGAGTACAGAATCCACACCTATTACTTCAACAACACTGCCTACAACTTCAGAAAGTACAACAGCAGAAACCACGACAACAGCTTCATCAACCACACCTACCACAACAAACGATGCAACAACATCAACAGCTGCAAGTTCAGAATCCACAACTCTTACTTCAACAACTATGTCTACATCTTCAGAAACAACTGCATATGTAACAACATCAGTATCTACAGTACCCTCAACTACTGGAATTCCCACAACCACAGTTGTGAGTACAGAAACCACAACTATTACTTCAACAACACTGCCTACAACTTCAGAAAGTACAACAGCAGAAACAACAGCATCCTCAACTACTGAAATTCCCACCACCACGGTTGTGAGTACAGAATCCACAACTCTTACTTCAACAGTGGTGCCTACAACTTCAGAAAGTACAACAGCAGAAACCACAACTACAGCTTCATCAACCACACCTACAAAAACAAACGATGCAACAACATCAACAGCTGTAACTTCAGAATCCACAACTCTTACTTCAACAACTATGTCTACATCTTCAGAAACAACTGCATCTGTAACAACATCAGGATCTACAGTACCTTCAACTACTGAAATTCCCACAACCACAGTTGTGAGTATAGAGACCACACCTATTACTTCAACAACTATGTCTACATCTTCAGAAACAACTGCACCTGTAACAACATCAGTATCTACAGTACCCTCAACTACTGAAATTCCCACCACCACAGTTGTGAGTACAGAATCCACAACTCCTACTTCAACAGTGGTGCCTACAACTTCAGAAAGTACAACAGCAGAAACCACAACTACAGCTTCATCAACCACACCTACAAGAACAAACGATGCAACAACATCAACAGCTGTAACTTCAGAATCCACAACTCTAACTTCAACAACTATGTCTACATCTTCAGAAACAACTGCATCTGTAACAACATCAGGATCTACAGTACCCTCAACTACTGAAATTCCCACAACCACATTTGTGAGTACAGAAACCACAACTATTACTTCAACAACACTGCCTACAACTTCAGAAAGTACAACAGCAGAAACCACAACTACAACTTCATCAACCACACCTACCACAATAAACGATCCAACATCTTCAACAGCTGTAACTTCAGAATCCACAACTCTTACTT